GGGACACTTCATATTAAATCACAATTACGGAAGGAAAGCCTAGGAAGAACCCAGTAAGAGGATGAACAACTGATACCACGCAGCTATGCTGCGGGCTGGCCATGGAAATTCCGGATTGAGAGGAATGAGATTACTCACCTGATGACTGGCTGCCTGAGGATCCGGGTGGCAGACTGTTGGTTTACCAAGGCCCTGCCCACCCTATGCAATGGAGCGTGTCTCCCAACACTTTCAAAGCGACAACATGCCTATTAGCCACCTGGGGTGCTCCCAGGACACTGCCTACCCTCCCATTCCTGTGTCCCAACCCCAAGTCCCTCAGTGGTCATAGCACTCCATCTTTAAAATAAGAATTACTAATCCGGCACTAGGACCTGGAATCTGGACGCTGGCTGCTTCCAGACTCATTGGTATTCAGCCCTTCACTCTAGCGTGTGCTCTTTATCACCTGTCCCTCCAATCTTTGTGGCACTGGTGTCCCCACCACAGGAACCCAGCTCGGTGCTTTGGAAGAGGTTGATCCTCGTGTAGCCAAACATGTAGGCTGCACCTGGGAGCTCTGCATTCAGAGAATCCCCCCAGCTCCTCTTTCATTCTGCCCGCTACTGTCCCCCAGGTATAAGAGGCCGCCCCGTTTCTTCTTCCTCACCATCTGCCTGTTTTGCATACTGAAAATGATGCCTTCCAGATTCCCTGAGTCTCTTCTTAGGAAACCATGTCTGAAGGGCAGCGATCGGCATTTCCAACCCTAAGTCCTGAAGCATGTGTGCTATCAGGTAGATTTTACTTATTCTGTAACCACAGCTACGACTGCAAATCATGACAGCTCCTCAGAATGACTCTGCGTGGTTGTGGAGGTCCAGAGAGAGCCAGGAGGACCTCCTGGAGATGTGGCCGGGAATCTCCCCTGTGCTCTTCCTCCCAGAAGCTGTCCCAGATTTTCACATGGAACCAGACAGGCACTGCTCTGTCCAGGTCCTTTGCCCGTCCTTGTGCCTGGCACCTCCTCTCTAGACCTGGGCAAGCAGCATTCTCTTTGTCACCCATGTGTGCAGAGGCCACTTAGTCACGAGGTGGTGCTCCACAGCATCACCTCCAGTAGTCCCCTGGGCAGCCTGTCTGTCCCTGAGCCCAGCAGCTCCAGCAATGCCCAGGCTGGAGTGAGTGGTGCACGATGAACTGTGGGTCACGCAGGCAGTCCTCGATCCTCGCTGCTGGCTGTTTCTCCATCATGTGTCTTGGGCTCCTGAGCAGAGCAGAGCGTCACTGGCTCCCACAAGTCCAGCCCACTTTTGTAGAGTGGAGGGGACGAAGGGATGGAGAGCCATGCCCATGTGTGTGCCCACTACCTGCCGCAAGCGTGTTTGCCGTGTGCCGCAAATGGACAGTGAACCTGCAAAGACATTATGTTTTTATATTCCTGAACTAATAAGGGAGATTGTCTTTTTTATGTATTTAGTACTGGATCTACAGGGCCTCACTATGTAGATCAGACTTATAGTGATCCTCCTGTTTTCAGCCTCCCAAGCACTGGGATTACAGGCGAGGGCTACCACGTCCAGTCTCAATCGCTGTCTCAGCGTGCCCTGGGGGCACTTTAGTCTACTGAGCTATCTGACTAGCCCTTAAGTTGCCCTTTATAGGACAGTTTGCAGTCTTAAATATGCATGTTTAAGTATTCTTCATAGTATATGGTATTTATTTAAATTGTATTTCTTTCTGCCTGTGAAGACTTTTGACTGACTTTCAGTGTCCAGTAAGATCATATGAAGATTCATTTGACAGTCCATGAAATCAAGAGAAAACTTCTCAAAGTTTACATTGAGAACTGCAAATTTGGCCAGCCAAATAGCTCAGTGGATTAAAGCACCCGCAAGCAGGCACAGGGGCCAGAGGTTCAGTCCTCAAGCCTGCCATGCCGGCCATGCACCCGAGGTGTGCTGAAACCACAATTCAGACTGGGGATGGTGGTGCGTGCCTGTAATCCCAGCTTTTGGGAGGCTGTAAACAGGCAGATCACTACAGGTCCAATCTAGTAGTGAGATCCTGAACACACTGTAGACCTTTCCCTAAAATACAAAATAAACAAATAGAAATAAAAAACAGAACGGAAAATTGTAATTAAAACCCAAATAAATATGCATTATGAATAACAAATTTAAAATATTTGCCTAATGGAAATGCTACAACCTGGTTTGATGATTACACATTGTGTATTCATTTTACTTTCTAGTGTCTTATCACGCTGTTTCCCATATATATTTAGAATTAAAATACTAACAATAAAACACAAGTCCAAAACAAAGAGTCTAAGCCCAGCCAAAGATCTGCAAGATTATGTGGGCCCTAGAGAAGCACCCCGGTGCGGGCCTGGTGGGAAACAGGGCAGCGTGAGGACGGAGCCGGGCTGAGGCCAGGCTGGTGATGAAGCTGCAGGCGACCTTCCTGGAGCACAGAACCGAGCTGCACCGAAGAGCACACCTTGAGCCTCAGCAGCCACACCCAGAACATGGGTGACGTTTTCAGTGAGCGCGAGCGCTGGCCTTGAGCCACTGTGTATAACACAAGGAGTCCTGAAGTTCCAGCCACTAACCTTAAAAGGGGCATTCTACACAGTCTGGGGCAGCAGCAACTTGGCCTCTGGCTTGGTGCTATGGGGTGTGTGCGCATGTGTGTGCGCCTAGGACTCTGTGCAAGGCCTTCAGGCCACTGGGTCACCGCCCTGAATGCGCTAGGGGCCCCAGTCCCTTTGCTTTCTCTCTTTTCCTTCTGGGCCACGGATGAACTCCACCATACTTACGTTTTCTCCAAGATGTAGGCCCTAAGTAGCAAGGCCAATCCATCACAGAACGGAAGCTGGGCCTGCAGCAACCTTTCCGCTTTCTAAGATGATTATCTCAGGTGTTTGCTGTAGAGCTGGAAAGCTAACACGGCGTCCACAGGGGGACAGAGACTCATCAGCCCAAGCTGTGAGTGTGATGAAGCTGCAATATTCCCAGCAAGAACTAAGAAATGAGGTCAGCGAGGCTCACCTCCAGGAGTCAACATGAATAATCAGACAACAGACACGCAGAGCTGTCAGATGGGTCCGAAAGGGCTCCCAGCGCACAAGACCGCTAGTGGCCACTAGACTAAGCAACAGCCTTTCTAAAGGTGAAGGTGTCAGGAGAGGGAGGCTGGTGTTCTCCAACATTCTACACCGTGGGCTGAGAAGGGCAGCCCTAGGTCCTCCCCAGTGGAAAGGCCAGGCCAAGGGTACACATGCACACAGGGGCACAGGCACCATGGTTAAAGTCCACACCTTGGTAGCTGGTTTTGAATTCCAACTCGGCCACTTGCTAATTACACGACCCAGGTGCATTATTAAACCTGCTCCTTCCCCTGGGACTGGAACTGCGACCATGGCAAACACACCAGAGACTCTCGGGAGCACTAGGTCAGTGAGTGCCAAGTGCTCAGACGGGCTGCAGTCCCAGTGCCAGGGGCGTTTCAGCCAACTCACGAGCCTGGCCCAGTGCTCCCCAGAACGCGTCTCCCCTCACTCTGATGCAATGTCTGCCTTCCATGTGCATTTGCTCATGCAGAAAGAATGTGCTTAGCACAGAGATTCTGAGAAAGTCCCACCCCATGGCCTGCGACTGCTCATGGCAAATCAATAAATTACCTGCGGTCCTGTCTGGTCTCCCACATGACCTGGCTACGAAGGCCAGAGGCAGGTATGCTGCTGGGGGAGAATTTCAGGTCCGGAGCCGACTGGTTTGGATTTCTAAACCTTCACGCTGGCATTCTGTTGCCGCTCTCGGTCTGGGCTTGGGCCTAGGCTTGGAATGCTCACACCCAGGGTCCAGTTTCACCCTCGAGGAAGTGCGAGAGTCCTCAGGTCCTAGCAGAGGGCTGGGCCTAACCAGCTTCCCTTCCCAGCTCCCTGGCCATCCTGCACACACAAGGACAAGAGCCCCGGGGGCTGCTGTGCCTGTTGTGGACACCTTGGCACTAAAGAATAAAGCGTTTTTAGGAAAAAATGGTTTTAAAAAATGCCACCAAGTGGGGAGCCTAATACATCTGCATTCACCCAGGGCTCCCGGAGGAAAAATGTCAAAAATGTCCGGAGTTGTCACTGCCTAGAGTTCGTGTAAGTTAAGCCTCCTGGTGGAAAGGGTTGGCCGTGCTGCAAGGCTGGAGGTGGGGCAGCGCACATCAGAGGGAAGCCTGAGGAGTTCGGTGAGGGTTTTGTCATTCACCTCAATAGGTTAAATTCACCCTCAGGTATGAGCAGAACTGGGAAGAATGGTGGAGGGGGGGGGGTGTCAATGAGATGCTCCCGCCACCTAGCCAGGGTTGTGGGAGCTGCTTTGAGTCTCAGGGAACCTGTCAGGTTCAAGGGCAGGGAGCCTCTGGGGACATCTAGCCACCCTGGGGTTCAGCGGCATTTCCCGGTCATCCCATTAGGCAACTGAAAAAGACAATATTGCCCCTTAGGAAAGTGCAGCTAGCGGCAGGAACTTTGTGATGCAGCCGGTCTTGGGCTTTTAAGTGGGGGACTTCCCCTTTGGAATCTAGGGTCCCCAGAGAGCGCCCCAGGAGTGTGTGCTCCAGGCAGGCAGTGACCTGTTGAAATCTCAGGGCCCAGAAATCTGTCTCGAGCCCCTGTGAATAAATGTGCATTTTGGGACAGAAGATTTAGGGCGCTCAGGGGCTACAGCCGCTTCATCTGGGGTTCACTGTTTGGGTTTCAGGTCCCAGGCCGCCGCTTCCGCTGGGGTCCGGGTCAGCTCAGGCCCTAGGTCAGCAGCTGGACCTCTGGAGGGAACAAGGCCACGGGGTGGCTAGGAGGACAGCGCGGGCGTCGGGGCTGCAGGCGCACACCGCAGGGGGCAAGGCGGGAGAGCGGCGTGGCGAGGACAGAGCCTGCACCCGCGCCGCCCGGGCGGGACAGGTGAAGGCCGGGGCGCGGCGCCCGAGTACCGCCCCGCCCCGCCTCGCCTCCTCCGGTCCTCCCGCGCCGCGCCGCCCCCGCCTGGGGTTTTGCAATGTAGCAGCGGCCTTTATTTCGTCCCCTCCCCAGTGCCGGCCTCGCCTCCCCGCAGGTGGCTCCACCCAGCCCGGATCCGGAGAGGGGACGCGCGGCTGCAGCGCCGGCGCGCGGTGCGTCCGAGGTCCCGCGGCGCGGTCTCCGCGGGGCGCGCTCCTCCCCGCCCGCCGCAGCCCTTCCCCGCCTGCCCGGGCGCAATCGCAGGGCGCCCTGAGCATGCCGGAAAGATGGCGCTAGCGGCGGTGGCGGCGACCGGGCCGGCGGGCGGCGGGGGTGGCCGGGCGCAGCGCAGCGGGCTGCTGGAAGTTTCGGTGCGCGACCGCTGGCACAAAGTTCTGGCGAACTTGGGCGAGGACGCCCTGGTCCTGAGCGGCGAGGACGGCGCGGCGGCGGCGGCGCACAACGGGCTGGGCGCGGCGGCGCAGGGCTCGCGGGGCCGGGGCGCAGGGCCCCCGGAGTCCCCGGCCGGGGTCCGCACCGCCGTCACCGACGCACCCGAGCGCGTGCCCGAGGCCGTGTGCAGCCAGAAGCGCGGCGTGAGGGTGCTGAAGCAGGAGCTGGGCGGCCTGGGCATCAGCATCAAGGGCGGCCGCGAGAACAAGATGCCCATTCTCATCAGCAAGATCTTCCAGGGGCTGGCGGCCGACCAGACCCAGGCCCTGTACGTGGGCGACGCCATCCTGTCGGTGAACGGCGCCGACCTGCGGGACGCCACGCACGACGAGGCGGTGCAGGCGCTGAAACGCGCGGGCAAGGAGGTGCTGCTGGAAGGTGAGGTCCCGCGCTCGTGCGCCTCGGGCGGGGGCCGTGCGCACGAAGGCGCTGCAGTTTGACAGCTTCTGCCCACCCGGGGTGTCACTTGTCCCCGCGGCCGGGCGTCCGCCTCCATCCGCGGATAATCCGAGCGAGGTGGAGGAGCACCGGTGGCCCGGGAAATAGAGCGTACGTGAAGAGACAGCGAGCCGGGACTCCTTGCCGCACACACAGGTCGCTGCCTTGTCCCGACGCCCCTGCCCGCGGGGCCGCCAGAGAGGTGGCGGTGGGAGCGTCAACTCCGCTGGTGTCTGGGTGCGCGTGCTGGCCGGCCGTGCGGGGAGCCCGGCCAAGCGTCCAGAGCGGGGCTGCAGTTTAGCTTAGGCGCTAGCCATCTCCCCGCTGTGCCAGGCCGGTCTGTCCGGATTCCAGCTCCCTTTGGGATGAAGGAAGGGAAGTGGGCTTTTCTGCCTGCTTTCCCGGAGTCATCTCAGAGCTACCTCAGAGCTACGTGGCCTTAACTCTGACAGGGACCGTGCAGGCAGGGAACTCAGACATGTATCCTGAGGTCTGTTGTCCCAGCCCCATATTACTGAATGGGAGTAAAAACCCACCAGTTGGTCCCAAATCCAGATGGGTGGGGAGAAAGGCCAGCGGCAGGGTGGTAACCCGGCAGGGAGAAGTCTTCCTGCTGCCCTGGGCATCACCTGCTTCCTCGTGCTCCCAGTCTGTGGACGGGGCTGTCTCAGGTCCTGCGTTCAGTTAGCAACCTCTCTGGGGTAGGTGCAAGTGCACAGCGCATGCATGAGGGAGCTGGCTCTGCCGCCGCCCTTCCAAGGAGACCTTGAAGTTAGGGGCGTTGTGAAGCCCTGGCCAGGGCTGAGGGCAGTGTCCTGCTCACCTCTTGGGCTGGCACGAGACACTGAGAAAGTTGACAGTTGGGAAACCAACTTTCCCAGTCGGGCGACCGCTCCTGCAGATAGATCCCTGGTATGTGATGGCCCAGCCCCTGGCCTCAAATACAAAGGGTGTTTTGTTGTTGTCGTGCCTTACTTGTCCAGAGGATTGGTGATGGTTTCCTATTGAATTACCACCCTGGGTCCAGAAGGCAGAGGCTGCTGCTGGTGGCTTGATGATTAACATAAGGAGACTGAAACGGTTTTCTGAGTGCATGTGTGTGCTGGCTTAGGTGACAACTGGCAGGTGGGACGGGGTGAGTGTGGCTTGGATGGTACTGCTGGGCACCTGCTCTGCCTGCAGTGGTTCTGGAGATCCAGGGATCAGGGGACAGAAGACAAGTCAACTTTATTTAAGGCATTGTCATGGTCCAGTCCCCTCTTTCCTGCTCCATGGTTTCAGTTTGGTGAGTAATGATTTGCTGAAGAGCTAAAAAAAAAAAAAAAAAAAAAAAAAAAAAAAAAATCCGCCCTCCCCAAAAGAGGAAGAAAAGGTGACTCCTGGTAGCAAAAGCAAACTTAGATTTAGAAAGAAAGGCAGTCACATGACTTTCTTGAGAAGGGAAGTGGAAAGTGAATTCTGTAAAACCCTGCTTGCGACATTCCTAGGATGGCGCTCCCAAGTAACAGTCACTGTGGTTCTGCTTATCCCCAACCTCAGTTTTCAGAAACTGGCGGCTAATGCGAGACCGAAGTGCAGGCACTTCTCAGAATGCCGCGTCTCTTGCCAGATATGGTGGTGCACTCCTGTAGCCTGAGGCCGAGGCAGGAGGGTCAAAGTGAGTGCCAGGCCAGCCTGAGCTAGGAACTGAGATGGGCTCGGAAAACTCCCAAACAAAACAAACCCAAAACCAGTGGCTTTTTGTCTGTGTCAAAGTGTTTGCGAGGGGCTGGGGAGATGGCTCAGTACAATAAGCGCTTGCCTGGCAAGTGCAAGGACCTGAGTTCAATCCCCAGTTCCACAAAAAAAAAAAAAAAAAAAAAAGTGTTTGCTGGCCCTTGCTGTCCGTCCACGTGATGGTAGCCTTCTTAATTGTCAAGCCTAGAGTGAGAATGTCACAGGCCTCCGTGTGGAAGCCTGGCCCCCTCCGGTATTCCCACGTGAAGGGACTTCTTTAGTTTTTTGGAGACAGGGTCTTGCTGTGTAGTCCGGGCTGGCCTCGAACTCGCAGGGATCCTCCTGCCTCAGCCTCCCGAGTGCTGGGATCACAGGCGTGCGCTGCCACAGCAGGCTTGAAGGGAGCATCTTTAGAACTCCTCCCCACCTTTCTGAACACAGAGCTGCTTCCCCCTGAGATGCCGTGCTGGCTCCAGAATTTCCTCAAAAGAGAGGCTTTAGGGATGTAACCTGGTTGGGCTAGAACTAGAAAGATGTTTTAAAGGTATGTTTTGATGGTGAATGCACAGTTAATACTTAGATTGCTTTTTGTGTTTGCTCTTGCGGGTGCGCATGGTCGGTGGCATACCCCAGTAGCCTCCCTTAGGCGCCTCATTTCTTTGTATGCGCCGCCTAGTGGAGAGTTGCTGCCTCTGCAAGGTGAAATCCGATCAGCCAGTTTCTGTCGCACTTTCTGGTCCTAGATTCTGCGACACGTGTGATCTCCTCCTGCCTCTGCGACCTCGTCTGCAGAACACGAGTAGGAGACTGCCAGACCTGTTTGCTTTAGGGCGCTGCCGACCGAACGGCGTTTTGGGGGAGCGATTCATCCGATAAATGCCTGCTGTATTTTTACAATTTAATGAAATAAAAATGAACTTGCCTCTTCTAAGAGGGCTGTCCTTTCCTCTTTACTAGAATTACGTTTCTTAGTTGGATTTTTTGATATTAAGTCTGTAATGCCCTGGGGTGTGGTGACCCATGCCCATAATCCTAGCATGTGGGAAACTGAGGCAGGAGGATGGCTGAGAGTTTAAGGCCAGCCTGGGCTACCTAATGATACCCTGCCTCCTATCCCCCCCCCACACAAAAAAGTACCCAGTAAAACTGGGAGAGCCCATCCTCCGGGAGTCCTAGGCATGAATTATAATCTGAGGCGAGATCAAGCCTATGCCTACCGTGTGGTGAGCACTTGGAACGCGTGCCAGGCCTTCCTGGGACTTATTCATGCTGCAGCTAGAGGACCCCTAAGGAAATCAGCTTAGAAACAGTCACTAGTTGGAGTCGCAGTGACACAGCCAGGAGGCTTCCAGATGGAGCTGACCTTTAACCTCTTAGCAACACTGCATGTGAGACAGGTGGAGACTGCGTGCAAGGCATTCTTTCCACCCCTGGAGGATGCTGGAAGCAGCCATTGTGTGGTGCACATGAAAGGAAAGGATAGGTGGGGTGCTGAGTCCTTAAAACCTCCTGTGCCGAGCTATGGCAAGGAAGTGGCTCCACAAGGAGGTCGAACTACGGCAGCGAGGAGCCTCAGCTCTCACTCAGACTCAGAGAGTAAATACGCTGCATCTACGGGTGGGACTGGAGGTCAGAAGTCATCATAGTACAAGTGCAGACAGTGGACACTGATCACAGGGAAGACCGTTCACGTAGACGAGAATGCGGCTGGAGCTCTGCGGGCTGAGCGAGGCACACGCGAGAAACATCATCAGCAGTCCTGGGTGTGCAGGGAGAGTGGTTGCTGTCCTGGATCCATCAGGAAAATAGCGTTTGGAAATGCCAGCCTTTCTGTAACTTTTGAGGCACGGATCAGTGGCCTTCTCCACAACCTCGCTGAGATGGAGGTGTTCAGAATGTTCTGGAATGTTCCTGTCCAAGTGTGGCGTTTGGGGTAGGCAGTAGGCAGAACAGTCCCTGATCCAAAAGGTCTCAACAGAACTGGAGCAGAATGAGTAGAGACTCAAAGAAGAAAGCCAAGGGCAGCTCTTCCCACAGCTGTGGCCCACAGTCCCCTCCCTCCGGCTGCTTCCAGGATCCCTGGAGGCCGAGGGCATAGGAAGGTCACTTTTGCTGGGGATGGGGGCAGTACTTTTTCTGGCAAAGTTGGAAGCAAATTTGAGCTTTAAATAATCTTACTTTGTTTCAGATACTCAGATTCTTAGAGAACACCCAAGAACCTTGCCATGAGAATCTTGCAATCCGGGATCTTATTTTTAACAGTCTCTCTCTCTCTCTCTCTCTCTCTCTCTCTCTCTCTCTCTCTCTCTGTCTGTCTCGCAATGAGACACTGTATTTCTTGGGCTCGTATGGCTCTTGCAAAGCTAGGCAGGTGGGTTAATGCATCACGCGACACAATTCTGCTAAAATCCTGCGAATTCAGGTCTCATGCACACTCCAGCAGCAAACTGGAAAACGCTCTTCCTGTTGGTTTGATGTGAATTTCATACAGAGAAGTCTATCTCTAATTTAACTTTAACAATCAGTGTAATGCTCTGACATTGCTATCAAGAGGAAGTGAAGAAGTGCGTGGAACGGATTTCGCAGCTAAATCCTGTGCCTGACGAGCAGTCCAGATACAGGGGCTGCCCGCCGGCTCCTCTGTGCGGACTCCAGCCTCGCACAGCTCCAGGTGGCCAAGCGAGCGTGGTCCCTGCGGGGTCCGGACAGGTCCCTCCTGGGAAGGACCCCTGGCTGTGTGGCCCCTCCCGTTCTCACGGAGTCCCTCAGTGCCTCGAGAGAGTTCTCTTTCCATGGGTTAACTGACATCCTCAGGATAACCTGATCATCCCCGTTCTACACAAGTGAAACAGGGGTTCAGAGGACCGCAGCCTCCAGCCAGAGACGGAGTGAGCGAGCGCTGAGCCTCACACGCATGAATGTGAGCCCTCAGTCCTCAGAGACAGTCCTGGAGACAGCAGGCCGGCACGTCTGCTCAGGTTGTTTGCTGGCTAGAAGGGGCCTCTCCCAGACACGCGTGAAGGGGCCTACTCCGTCTTTCCTTTCTCGTTTGCAGTGTTCATTTCTGTTGAGGCTGTCACAGTTATCAGAATCCTGGTAAATAAACACAAATTCATTATTTTACCCTTTTTTTCTCAGTACTGGGGATCAAGAACACCAGATCTTGCACGTTAAAGGAAGTGCTTTACCACTAGACCACATCCTCAACACACCCACTCCTGTTT